GTCTCGGAATGCTTTCACTGTTTTGTGAAATTCACATTTCGGATAGATTGATTCCGTTAGGTGAAGGGAACCTAGCTACTATTAGTCATCCATACTCGCCTATCCAAGCGAGTGAAGTAGCTACATGACCAACATGTCTTTTTTTCATATTGGTATTGGGAACCCTGGACTCAACTGAACGGCAGACATGATTCAGTCGCGGAGTCAGTGGCGCACGTGTATCGAAGCTACCATCCTCAATGCGTAGCTACTCAGTTCCAGAACTAACTAATTATGCTATGGCCTGCAATGCTTGACTGAGGGTAAGATGGCCCAAGTGGTTAGCTCGCGAATTTACTGACCGGAAGGTCTGTGGCTCGAACCCGATCTCTGTCTCTCCCGTTCCTCTGTCTAGGCTTGGGCAACCTGGCAGTATCCGAGCCCTCGTGGTATAGGGGCTAGGCACCGGATGGGTGTTGCAGCTGAACGAAATGCTTGACTGTATCCACCACGCTCTACCAGTTTCCGGTGATCAAAGCTGTAGCGACTGGAACCAATGTACCCTTGGTACATGGTTTATAGCTGATAAGTTGAAAGTGAATTGTGAATTTTTATCCTATTGATCAAGAGAAGGCAAAACATCTCGGTGTATCGCAACAAACTAGATGGGTGTATCGTCACATCGGTGTTACCACTGGTGGTTCACTGGGTGGTGGGGTCCCGTGCTGGTGTGTTGCAAGCATTCTGAGGAACCCAACCTTCTTATGCTCAATCAAAGCATCCAGGATGAACACCACTTACTTTGCTTAGTCGTCATTTCTTTCGGTGTCTCCAGCCAAGCACAAGGGGTAACGGTGATCCCACCCCGGTACGCACACCGCAGGTAGGAGCACATGTTCGTCGTTTCGGGGCGGATAACAACTGAGGAAGGAAGTAGTACGCGACAGGCCATGGATTCAAGTCAATCCAGTCTAGCTTTTGGCTACCCCGCTGATGCGCAAGCACTTAGAGGCTAGCGTAAAACTGAAACGATTGGTTTCACATCAACAAGGTGTGGTGTTTATCTCCCTCCGAATAAGTAGATGGCGAGTCCTTTTTTATCCCTCTTTGAACGTAGTTCAAATAGACTTTGTCCGCAAACTGCTTTGAGGAGACACCGTGAATTTTATTTCCAAATCTCCTCACACTATCAGCAGGCTACAGGTGAAAGTAAGAAGGCCTTCGCTGCGGAGTTATTCATTAGAAAACGCCAACTGACCAGTTACAGACTATTGGACAGGGAAGCAAAACTCTCATAGCATCTTATTTACAAAAACTGAGCATCAATCTTCTCTTGAACGCGTCTTCTTGAGCTTTCCTGGATATTCATTGACTGTTGCTCAACTCCAAGCAAATGCCACAAAGCGACTCCATGAATTCCGCAATAGACCTCTCTTTTCAAGAGACGCAAAGCGAATGTACAACAAGAAACATACTACTCGCATGTCTCCCCCATCAGTAGTATCACCGCTACACAAATTGTCCTTCGAAGAATCACTCAACCTGTTATGGACAGCGTGGTTGAGCAATGAGTGGCACAATTTCCTATCCGGGGTAATCACACCGCTAATCAGCCGCTCATGGCTACCAGCCGGTAGGTCGTGGGTTCGAATCTCATTATTGACTCACGGGTTGTTCACCGCTGATGATTCCCAACAAGGCTGAGACAGCCGTGCAACGCTTCTTTGTTTCGCATCGCAGGCTGACCATGTGTCGGTGGAAATATTCTCGCACTCAGCCTGCCATAACGCTCTTTAGCAGTTAGTTGCGAACGATGTGTGCAACATGTAGAGGTGACGAATGCATCTGACTGTGGCTAAACGCAAGTCGGTATTCCGAGAAATACACTCATTTGCAAATCAACTTTGTGTTCACGAGATTCTCATCTGAATCTCTCGTTTGTGATATTCTACAACTGAATTTGCTGCACACAGGCTGTCGATATCTCAACTGAATTGTGAGGCGGCCTGTGTGCAGCACATTCAGTTGTAGAATGTTATAAACGATAGATTCAGTTGGGTCTCTCGTGAAAACCAAATTGATTCGCAGATGAGTGTATTTCTCGAAAACAGTGCAATTTGGGTTCAAGTAGAACATAAGGTTGATGGAAACTCGGGGACTGCACCTACCTGATGAGCCCCAAGAAGCGCGAAACCGGTCGTGGACTGTCGAAGAGTTTCCCGCAACCTTGTGAATAGTCTCCTTTGTGAAGAAGTCAGTATTCTTTCTAGTGTTATCCGCTGGAGTGCCGTCGGTTCGGAAGGAGCACCAAGTTAGCAGTAACTTATAAAGTGCGTAGGGTCCTTAAATTTATATTTTATGGATAGTAACGAGATTGAGAAGTCTCAATTGGGGACCATATCTTGAAGGCGAAATCAGTCTTGTTACTATACCACTACATTATACTATGCTATGCTGTACTACACTGTACTACATCATACACGTGTTTCAACCCTCGTACTATTCATCGACTGACCAAGTTGCTCTAAACACTTCAGCGCGCTAATGTGCTAAACCGTTCATCTGTGGGGCCCTTTGTTCAGCCATTTCCTTGTGTGACAAACTTATGGAAACGCTCCTGCCTCGTAGAGTTAACATACGGATGGTTCATTTCAGCATCCAAGCATATGGCGTCTCAACTTCCCTGAAGCCGTAAAACAAGGTTACTACGTCGTCACAAAACCACGGGGCTGTAGTATTCCCCGCCTGCGAGCTCGAGATGACTCAGTGGTAAGGACGTTGACTTATTAACTAGAAGTTCCGTGGTTCGAAACCGATGTGAGAAAATCTTATTCCGCCATTCGATGGGGGGGCACTCCCTCGAAAGACCACAATATTTTTTCCGCCATTCACGATTTGGTCTAAACATTTTCCTTAAGTCAGGGTTAAGGAGATCTTTTCGCGCAGTATCCTCTCTTATAGGGATGTGAGACTTAGGTGAACTTCGTATTGGTCAGTGCTAACCAATAAACTACCGTTTTTCACACATGCTTCAGTTCTGCTGACCTTTCCGTTACCGCTGAGATTTAGATCTTCTATTGATTGAACTGTTGGGTTCTCCCAGTGTGCTGGCAACTAATATTAATTCTCGCTCCCGAATCACCCCTCCGTTCTTCTGCTGCCACAGGTTTTTCGTCCGCGTGTTCCCCAGGATGCTATTCAGCTGGTGTCACAGCTGTTGGACTACACACCAGGCAAGCGTCTGAAACCCCTCGAGGCGATGATGCACAGTTTCTTCGATGAGCTTCGTCTCGAAGAAACCAAACTTCCAAATGACAGACCTTTACCTCCTTTATTCAATTTTACTCCCTATGGTAAGTTTCGGTCTCCTTGTCGTTGGACAGATTGTGGTGAGCCTCTTTCTGATTGGTCACTGTGCGTCGGTCTCATCCGTATAACCTAGGCTATTCGGCAAAATACACTGCGCCCACAGTCTGATGCTCTTGTGACCACTGAGTTATTGAATGAATGAAGATCCTTCTGACTTCGTGATGTGCAGTTCGCGCGTGTCGATTCCATCCCCATCGCACGATCTCGAAATGCTTAGTTGTGGATGTTGTCCCACTGCTGGCTGCCAGGACAAGACAGAACCATAACCGAAGGTGATGGAGGCCGATGGATGTGACGATGTGTCAACAGCGAGGAAATTGCCAAACAAACTTTTTAGATTTTTCAAACTGTTAATTGATTTTCGAAAAAAAACGTCCTGGGAACCCAAGTTTCAGGAAGCGTAACGTTCCAACCAAAAGCGTCCTTCCTCCGAACCAACCTATTGTAGACCCTGACGTTGCTGTTTCTTATGTTATACTCGATCTTTCGGTTGAGATTCCGCTGACCTCGCTTCACCACGCGGGGGCTGAGGGACGGTAGCGCGAGATTTTCCGTTGTAATGGCTGGAATCAAGTCATGGTCATATTGCTCGTCAACTCGGTTTTCCTGACAGATTTAATCGCAACTTACTTGTACCTGCTGAATCTAGGCATTTTGCAGGTCAGTTGGAATGTGGAGACCTGAAAATCAAAATATGCGTTTCCGGAAACTTGAAATCGGATCTGAAATGGCGAGTGTATGAGTGTGACAGGAGAGCCACGGACTGGTTGTTTGGAACTTGTCCGTGGCCCTCCTCAGATGACCTCTGCTTCGTGATTTTGTTGTAGCCCCATTCTACAGCCTTTGCCTGTTTCTATCACCTAAACTTTGTTATCCTTCCGACTTGCAAAATATGGCGAGATGGACGTAATCAGTCAAATCGGTCACGTGCTCAACACGTGACCTTCTGTCTGGACCGATATCTCGTTGCTGCTCCGGAGTCCTGACGCATTTTGCACATCATTATGCGGGAGACAGAGCAAAAAATAAGTCGAGAAATACGTCACAGTGTTGAGCGTTGTTTTTTCGCCTCAAGGCGATAAAGACGATAAAGCAACGTGGCTTTTGAACCCAATAGTATGCTTTTTGTAAGGGTATTCTTCCGGGTGGAAAAGTGTAGTTGGCCGGCGCACTCGGAGGGCCATGTTAATGCAAGTTTGAACGATCGATTGGTCGCATAATGTATTATGGAGGGTGAGATTCAACAGCACTCGCCGGTTTTTGGTGAAGCGGTCATAGGACGTACTCGACCGGTGCTAGATTACATTTCTCGGAGAATGTGTTCATCAACGAAGGAAATTCTAAAAGAGCTGCTGTTTGCTTCCCTTTTCGTCGTATTCACTCACACACACGGAAAACTTGTCTTTCGGCATAATGCGACAATGTTTGGTGACTCTGGTAACTGACGCCTCTTTGGTGAAGTACAGAGCGTGTGTTGTTATCTTTTGGTTAAAACCTACCCGAGATGAATCTGCGTCAATTTTGGCCTCGGCGATTTCGAATCATCAAGCCCAGAGTGAAGTTTGAATGATGATTACTATTCTCTGTGTGTGTTCTTCCACTTTAGCGTATTTTGACGGATGTAATCGTAGCTCCTGCGCACCCGAATGTTCCTAAATGGATCGAGTCGGTCTACTCGTGCGGGAACCCCAGACTAAGCACTGCTTTGGCTAGTGACATTGACAAATATGACTTCATCACTCAGCCAGTCGCTCCCTTGCATGGAAACTGTCGCTTTCACTGCATAACTTTTTCGATCCTCACGTGGTCAAAAAACAATGAGATTTCGAAGCCACTAAAGTAGTTGGACTATTGTCCTCGATGGTCCTCGAGTGTTTAATGCCTGAGTAGGAACTTCAGGAAGTCAGTATCTTCTCACTCCACTAAGCCCGTACGTTCGTACCAGTTGTTGCCATTTTGCCGGTTTCTGGTATAGTGGGAGGATTGCCATTAGTACATAGCTTCTCTTCCTGATCTCCCCGACGGAAAGTCCACTGAGACCCCTCTGTTGACGCATCGATTATATCATCTACGGTTTCCAGTGCGTAGCTATCTACCCACACTTCCCGAAGTCATCGGCGAACGAGACTTTGGAAGCTATAAACGCTGTACGACCGGTATGTAGTTTTTACAGCTCAGATGGTGAGTGTTCTGGCATGTTTTAACAGCACCCCAATTTCTTTGCATTCTAATGTTGCTTTTCCAAGAGCATTTTGTCAAATCAGAGTGAGTATTCGTGATCAGCTGATCAACCATGAATTGTTTGTAAGAAACCATGGCATCGGGGAGGAACGCGCCATTCATTCTGGTTGCATTGTAGGCCTGACGCGTTGACTTGTTTTGGTATGCGTTACTTGTCTGTCTGTCTATCCTTTCTTTCATTTATCTGTCACCCTAGTTGCCTTTCCCTTCCATCTTTCTCTATTTGCGATTTGTAACCAAACCGGTACGTCATCTATCCTTCTAAATAACGTATGTCCACGAGTGCGAAGTGGAGCTGACGGTGAGAGGTCGTCCCTTTTGAATATATGGAATAAATTTTTTCCTCCTTTCCGCTACTTTCCCAAGTCTAACCCAGTGGTCGGGTTGATAAACCTATTCTCTGCATGAGTATGTCAGGCTGTTTGTATAAGAACAGGTCAAATGTACGTAACTAGGCTTCTCTTCTAATCGGGTTGTTTTGTACCATACTGAACATTACGATTTAATGCATTTTGCCAACCTCGCCCCTTTTCCATCCACTTTTGACATATATTTTGCTTGATATTTCAGAGCTTTCCATGTCTGAAGACATACAAAAGTTACTCTCAGCCGTAGGCTCTTCAGCGCATCCTGTTCTATCCAACACGACGGATGAGTCTGGTTCTCCGGTAGCTCTTGAGTCCGCCCCACCAGTCTCGTCCGAACTTCATGGTGCTGTGGGCGGAGATGTAACTGACCCCACCGGACAACTCTCCGGCTGACGTAATCAGTCAAATCGGTCACGTGCTCAACACGTGACCTTCTGTCTGGACCGATATCTCGTTGCTGCTCCGGAGTCCTGACGCATTTTGCACATCATTATGCGGGAGACAGAGCAAAAAATAAGTCGAGAAATACGTCACAGTGTTGAGCGTTGTTTTTTCGCCTCAAGGCGATAAAGACGATAAAGCAACGTGGCTTTTGGACCCAATAGTATGCTTTTTGTAAGGGTATTCTTCCGGGTGGAAAAGTGTAGTTGGCCGGCGCACTCGGAGGGCCATGTTAATGCAAGTTTGAACGATCGATTGGTCGCATAATGTATTATGGAGGGTGAGATTCAACAGCACTCGCCGGTTTTTGGTGAAGCGGTCATAGGACGTACTTGACCGGTGTTAGATTACATTTCTCGGAGAATGTGTTCATCAACGAAGGAAATTCTAAAAGAGCTGCTGTTTGCTTCCCTTTTCGTCGTATTCACTCACACACACGGAAAACTTGTCTTTCGGCATAATGCGACAATGTTTGGTGACTCTGGTAACTGACGCCTCTTTGGTGAAGTACAGAGCGTGTGGTGTTATCTTTTGTGGTTAAAACCTTACACGAGATGAATCTGCGTCAATTTTGGCCTCGGCGATTTCGAATCATCAAGCCCAGAGTGAAGTTTGAATGATGATTACTATTCTCTGTGTGTGTTCTTCCATTTTAGCGTATTTTGACGGATGTAATCGTAGCTCCTGCGCCCCCGAATGTTCCTAAATGGATCGAGTCGGTCTACTCGTGCGGGAACCCCAGACTAAGCACTGCTTTGGCTAGTGACATTGACAAATATGACTTCATCACTCAGCCAGTCGCTCCCTTGCATGGAAACTGTCGCTTTCACTGCATAACTTTTTCGATCCTCACGTGGTCAAAAAACAATGAGATTTCGAAGCCACTAAAGTAGTTGGACTATTGTCCTCGATGGTCCTCGAGTGTTTAATGCCTGAGTAGGAACTTCAGGAAGTCAGTATCTTCTCACTCCACTAAGCCCGTACGTTCGTACCAGTTGTTGCCATTTTGCCGGTTTCTGGTATAGTGGGAGGATTGCCATTAGTACATAGCTTCTCTTCCTGATCTCCCCGACGGAAAGTCCACTGAGACCCCTCTGTTGACGCATCGATTATATCATCTACGGTTTCCAGTGCGTAGCTATCTACCCACACTTCCCGAAGTCATCGGCGAACGAGACTTTGGAAGCTATAAACGCTGTACGACCGGTATGTAGTTTTTACAGCTCAGATGGTGAGTGTTCTGGCATGTTTTAACAGCACCCCAATTTCTTTGCATTCTAATGTTGCTTTTCCAAGAGCATTTTGTCAAATCAGAGTGAGTATTCGTGATCAGCTGATCAACCATGAATTGTTTGTAAGAAACCATGGCATCGGGGAGGTTGCATTGTAGGCCTGACGCGTTGACTTGTTTTGGTATGCGTTACTTGTCTGTCTGTCTATCCTTTCTTTCATTTATCTGTCACCCTAGTTGCCTTTCCCTTCCATCTTTCTCTATTTGCGATTTGTAACCAAACCGGTACGTCATCTATCCTTCTAAATAACGTATGTCCACGAGTGCGAAGTGGAGCTGACGGTGAGAGGTCGTCCCTTTTGAATATATGGAATAAATTTTTTCCTCCTTTCCGCTACTTTCCCAAGTCTAACCCAGTGGTCGGGTTGATAAACCTATTCTCTGCATGAGTATGTCAGGCTGTTTGTATAAGAACAGGTCAAATGTACGTAACTAGGCTTCTCTTCTAATCGGGTTGTTTTGTACCATACTGAACATTACGATTTAATGCATTTTGCCAACCTCGCCCCTTTTCCATCCACTTTTGACATATATTTTGCTTGATATTTCAGAGCTTTCCATGTCTGAAGACATACAAAAGTTACTCTCAGCCGTAGGCTCTTCAGCGCATCCTGTTCTATCCAACACGACGGATGAGTCTGGTTCTCCGGTAGCTCTTGAGTCCGCCCCACCAGTCTCGTCCGAGCTTCATGGTGCTGTGGGCGGAGATGTAACTGACCCCACCGGACAACTCTCCGGCTCTCTGGACGTCAACAAAACCCAACCAATCTCATCTGTAACGTCGGAGCCGATCAGCGGCAACACAAACAACAACAGCAGTGATAATGGTATGGAAAACAACACGGTCAAAGAAACTATCCAGGAAACCACAGAGGGCCAGGCCCTCGGTGATAGCCAGAGGAGAGAGGAGGAGAGTAATTCCTGAGCAATTTCTCCGGTTCCCATCTGATATACAACACAAAACTCCGATCATAGCCGCCCGGATCAAGGTACCTTATTCAGATGTCGGTCGATTAACGAACAAGAACCAGTGGAGAGATCGACAATCACACCAAATACTGTGTACCTGGTTTCCGCCATCTTCCCACTCGATCCTGCTCCCCGCTGCTCTGCCGCAGTCGTTATCAGAGTCAAAAACTAGACACACGCACAAACGTACAAACATAAACAAACCATTAGTATTTGTCTCTTCGGGCCCAACTCATTTTCCCTTGTTTTGGCCTGCCTATATACATACCTATACATACATGTATTTGTCTTGTTCCTTGTATTATAGTTCTTTTTTCAGTTTCGTGGCTATAGGACCACCGTGTTTTTGGTATCTATCATCTATCCAACATATGCATATATAAAAAAAAAAAATACAACGGTAGCCTATTCGTAACCTATTCGTATACGTGAATGCCGGGACTTGATTCACTGCCTATCTTCCCGCGTGTGAAACCCGAATCGCACCAGTCGCTCAGCTATAACACCCTTTCGGTGCCTACCTGAAGGAAGCACAAGGGCTGGGATACTGCAGGTTGCCCAAGCCTAGACAGGGGAAATCGAAAGGTAGAGGTCAGGTTCGAATCACGCACCTTCCGGTCAGTAAATTCCCGTTCTAACCACTTGGGCCATCGCATCAGATGTTCAGCTAGTTACGCATCTGCTACCGGAAGTCTGTATACATGTATCTGCATAGTCTTCTGTCGCTTGAGGGGTCAGTTAGTAGGTCGAGTTTCCCGGTCAGAAATCGATGTCTCTTCTGTTGCCCTATCTATCATTCCCTTCCCATCGTTCCACGTAGTGGAAAACCTCGATTACAGAGCCCTATCATTTGAGCTCTCAACGATTGGTTCCCGTCTTCCGCCATCCTCCGAGCCTTTCGTTAGGATCTTTCGTCCACAACCGTGTTCGATTGAGTGTACACTGAAGTACTTAATGTAACCGTCAGCACTGATAATGTCTCCGCGAAAAAAATCGTTCAGCTGTAACACCCTTTCGGTGCCCAACTGCCATGTCACCAGAAGGAAGCACGAGGGCTGGGACACTGCCAGGTTGCCCAATCCTAGACAAGGGAAGTCGAGAGGCAGAGCGGGTCGGGTTCAGACCTTCAGGTCAGTAAATTCCCGCTCTAACCACGTGGTCCCCCTCGCCTCGATTGATCATAAAACGTCGGCAAGCAAATTGGTAAGCTTGGCGAAGCCACCTGGCTTGTAGTAACCAATTAGTGCACTCGAGCAACCAACAAGCCGCTATATTGCCAGGACTACTTTTGTTCTGTCAACTCAAAATGTGACTATTACTTCCGATGGAATCGGTTGCACGATCAAAGTTTGGTTTGAGCATGACACTTCAGGCTATTGGCTAGGAGGGTTACCGGATGTCAGGGCTATCCAACATACAAAGTCTAAAGTATGGTAAGGGTACCCAGTGCGTCCGGCAAAAGGCGCAAATTCTGACTCTGATTGTATGTCCACTACCACCAACATTGTCCCCACCTAGGAGATGAAGTTCCGCTCTGAAGAGCCGGACAAAACACTATTTAATGGCGTCTTTCTAAACGTCGCGCTTCTGTCAGCCGACTTAAACTTTCGTGTTCATGTCTTTTCCTTTTGATCATCAGCAATTTACTGCTGGTAACCGGAAAACCCGCCTACCGGTTGAGAGTGTGCCATTGCGGTAATTCCAGGCAATACCGTTCATGCAATCTAATCGTTAATTCATTGTGTGAGTTGCTCACGTGCGCAATCAGCTGATTACGAGCACGTACACACTCGTCCAACAGCGTAAACAAATGCCTGCTGGTTCGTGACATCCGGTACACTCCCTCTCGACTGATGGGTCCTGACTTTCCCAGGATGCTGATCGTGATAGAAGTGGCATCTAGGGTCGAGAAGGTCAGATTCCTGAAAGCAACCACTGAATGCCAGAAATCTACCGAGACGCTCAGCTACGCTAGATTCTGACGAGACAGACAACTGCCCCTCAGTATGCAGTGCGTCACAGCCTTGTATGAAACCCAGACAGCGCGAGTCAGTGTTGATCAAAGTCAGACAACGCCCCCGCCTCGTACCAAATTCAGACCGCGTACGTCAGCATTAAACGAAGTGCAGACAATGTCCCTTCAACAAATAGCTTGAGGCCGTTGTACTTTCGCACTCGCTTGTTCGGAATATAGCTGTTGTGTTGTCTTCTCTTTTTTTCCGGCACCAGGCACTGGAGCGTGTCAGCAGTCAGATACAAGAGGTTGGCGAATCAGAAGATATAACATCCAGGATCAACCGTCCATCAGGATTTACATTTTACCAGCGTTAGTCTAACAGCTGCAGTTCCATTCAATTTCAAAACCACGCGATTGTGCCATTTGACGTGCATGGAGGGTTCGCGAAACTTGTGAATTATTCTTCCTTCCATGCTACTTACAGTCCATTCATAGTGTGAGGAGATCTGGAAGTTTCCATTGAGTTATAATCTTGTAAGTAAAACCATTCCATGCGAGCAAACACTGCACAGCTTTTTCATCCTTACTGAGAATCAGCGGCTGGTAGTCGAGGGCTTTAATCCTCGGCCACTGACGGGGAGGTCGCTGTTCCAAATCGTCCTGTGTGATGCGCGCCGCTTCATCATCATTATCAGCTGTAATAACCGCGTACTGGTCGTACACTGGTTGTAGCTGCCACAGTTTCGTTCACCGATGATTGGGGGGTAAGTAGCTGCGCATTGCACGCGTGAGCTGGTAAATTAGTGCATAAATCCAGCACTGTCAGTGAGTTGTCAAGCGGGGGGGGGGAAAAGGAGCTATGCATTGAAGGCAATAGCTTGGATGCACGAGCGCCACTGAGGGCGCGACTGGGCCATGTCTGATAATGTCTCTAGCCATTGATGTGGCCCGTCTCGGGGTCCCCATCCAGGAAGACGGCAGTGACCAGCGCAGCTGAGTTTGCTGGTAATGGCCTTCATACTTCGCTGCCAAGTCATTGTTTGACCGCCTCTGGCTCTCTTCCACCCTTCACATGGTTGGGCGAAAAGAGCCCTTCGAGGAAGTCGGTCGACTGGCATACGCAGCACGTGGCCAAGCCAACGCAACCTGTGCAGTGTGATCAATTCATCTATCGAGGGTGAGTTATTTCTCCCGAATACCATTCGACGTACTTCAGAATTGCTGATCCGGTGTTCCCGCCGCTTAGGATTCTTAATAAGGATCGAACAGCTGAACAGTGCTCCTAGGCTTTTTGGTGTGGATTGGCTGCACTTGCAACAGTTGTGTTACGGTTCTGTCACGCAGCGAGCAAACAATATGATAATGCGGATTGTGGCAATACTCTATCCCCAGCTATGTTGCTTGATCCAGACTCCTAGCACGGCGAATAGTAAGAAGACGAAAACCTCGGACACAAACTTTAATAATCCAACAACACACGATCAACAGGCGATGCGCGGAGCTTCCGAACCCGAGGCAGTGGAAAGAATGGTATCCTGTACGTGGTCGGATTTAAATTTCCTTGGAGTATCAATAGGCCATTGATTTTTCATAATTTGACCTTGAAGTTGCCAAGAGTTCGCTAGCACACTAAAACAAAGCGTTTTCTGGGGGATATTGATATCCCCAACAAGTTGACATCAATTGAAGCCCTTATCATATTACTAATAAAATGAAGCGGGACTTTCATAAAGGAAACTACTCCCAAGGCTGCTGAAAACTCTTCGACAACCCACGACCGGTTTCGCCCTTCTTGGGGCTCATCAGGTAGGCTCAGTCCTCGAGTTTCCGTCAACCTTATGTTCTACTTTGTCCTTTTAACTGAGTTTCAATCTATGCTGAAAAGCCGAGAAGCATCCTTATAAGGAATCATCAACAGTGCACATCTCACCAGACCACAAGGTGTCTCAAACCCGCAACCTCTCGGCTAATTGAAGAATTAGCCGTTGGGACGCGAGTGGCTGATCAAATTTGAAGGATTAGCCGTTGGGACGCGAGTGGCTGATCAACAGTGTGACTAGCTCGAACTTCCATCTAAGAAGTCGTCACTCGAGAGGACAATCAACGTGTGCTATTGGTTTCTTGTTATTGACGGACGAATGGTGATATCTCCTGTCTAAGTGCGAGTTAATCACACGGCTGACCAGCCACTCGTGGCCGAACGGTCAAGTGTTCAAGCTACTAGCCGGGAGGTCGCGGGTTCGAGACTCTTCGGAGTTTCGTGAGCACACTACTGACGATTCCCAATAAGGATAAAACAACTGTACAGTGTTCTTTGAACAAAATCTCCATCAAATCTCCTCACCCTGCGAGCAGTATCACTGTACTTTTCACGTGGCTCCGTTCTATTAGCAATACGAATGTACTATCCTGTGCCAAGGCCGCGATCTCAAAGCAATGAATTGATTAGTTAGCCTAAACGCACGATCTAGGTGTCCTATCTAACAGGTAACATGTAGTCTAATGCACCGACGGACAGTCAGTAATAATTGCGGCGAATTCTACGAACTTCACCTGCCTTTGTTCACTGGTCGCAATCGGGCAGTGAACAATATATTGAATTGAACTTGGGCAGACAGTATAGATAGGTAGACCGTGGTTCTGTAGGAAATTAACAGTAAATCGTGAGGAGAATTAGGGAAAGGCTTACGGCTGGATTGAACCTTGGGCAGTTAGCAACACAGGAAGGGTAGTGTGCTATCGGACAAATAAAGCGGCGAAAAGGTTGTTCAGTTCAAAGTGGGACAAATTTTCGACAAGCCAAGAAATGAATGTGAACAAATCGTCTATAGAAAAACGGTTGATATAGAGTCAACTTTGTATAAAATAGAATAGTTCAGTCTTGAAACTTGAGCAGTCACCGGAAGGGTAATGAATTAACCTGAGGAATAGAGTACGCCACGTAATTAACAACGAATATTACGTGTTCAGTTATATACTGTGATAATTGCTCCGTCATTCGGCCACTTTGGTTCTCTCCAGCATTTTGCAGAACTATATCCGATAAATTAATAAAACAGAACTAGTTTTTACAACTAATGTCTATATCGTTTTGTAGCACGCATGTGTGACGTAAAAGCCTTGTTTCAATGCAGTCGTCTCGACATGAGGGGACGAACCCTTGGACACATGAAGGCGGTTTGACGCAGTTCCTTACACGCTTTATAGCAACGTAGCTTGAAATATTCGAGCAACTCTGATATTTGCATAGTCACGTCTTTGAGGGGGATGACTGTCGGGTTCTGTCGTAACGAGGGAGTGTTTGACCATGACTGTAAAGATGGAACATCCCATTGTCGGGTTGCGAAATCGTGTTAGTTTCTACCTGAAAGCAATCGGGTGGGAAACGGTCTTCCAAACTAGTGAAGGCGATAAGATTAGGATGTCTATTGATTTTTTTAAAATCACCTGTTTGTTGACTCAGCCAGATGTTTATCCGACACTCTGAATGATCACATAGTCTCAGGTCACGTAAACCTGGTAATCGCCAAACTGTGGAGCTTGGAATTTTTCCGAAGGATCGTAATACACTTCTGATCCGATTTTTAGAAGCCCAGCTGATTGTGACCTTTCATCCGTATTGGGATTCACCTGAAGAGTGTAGGGTGATCGATCATCTGACCTTTTGGTTACTAGCTTAAAGTGAACTACGTGTCCATCGACCGGTATGCGCAACTCGGATGATTTTTTCGGGTGTAATTTACTCCGATATATTCATTCAGTCTTGGCAACAGCCGATAGAAGTATTGCTTCTGGTTCCGGCAATGTGCCCGCTACTTTCAGAAAGAGTGATTCTGACTACAAGTACTGATGTCGTTTCAACTGGGACTATATCGGGATGGAAGACTGTGAACGGTTTGCGAATGGCGAAGCATGCTTCACCGATCCCGTTCAACCAAGTAATTGGAAGCCTCATACAGCACCCAGAAGCTCGCGACCTTGAGTGCACCAGCTGCCCCGGCAAGGCATGTATCTCGACCGATAACCAGGGAATCAAATCAAGGCTAGTGTCAAACAGCACTAACCGTTAAGCAAGGTTCAATGATCGGAGTAGAGGAACGTCAATATCCACAGCTCTAATACCGTTTCTTCACCATTAAACCAAACGACAATTCAGAGCCCCGTTTAGTTGACTTCTGAATCCTTTCGCCAAGCTTTGGAATGGGTTCACAAACACCTCGACAGTATGTGAGGGGACACCTACAGAGCCGTGCAAAGTTGCAGTTTTGAACAAGTGTAATTCCGCTACCAGTCACCCCGAACGACTTTCGACTGATTAAAAATTCTAGACGCAATATTTAGCAATGATATATTCACTCTCCAAGAACAGGCCACCTCTAGACAGCGACCATGGTGAGTGTTAGCTCCTAGAGTTTTACAGGATCTTCCACCTTTGGAGAGATTAAATCTCTTCCTTCTTGAGCTGTTTCAGATTTTGTCCAGTGTGAACCGAATTCCTTGCTTACCATTTACTCTAAACTTCAAGAACGCAGAGATCTCACACAGTTCAAACACCACATGGCACGGTTGGAAAACCTGAGCTATGGGTTACAAGCCCAGTTTAACAATGGGTCTGAATTCCAAGCCTAGTTAGCAGTGAGTATCAATCTCAAATTTCTATCTCAGTAGAGATTCTCTAGCGTAATTTATTGTACCAGCTGTTTATTGCATCACAGACTGGTAGAGCAAATAAATCGTCTCTCGAGTTCGGGTAGAACTTTGGAGTTCGAATATTTCATCTATCTTGTCGACCAACACCGTTTTTCATTTGAGCGTTCGAGCAGCGGTTGCATTGTTAAAAACTGAACGGAATTGTACACGCTGTCTGCGACATTTCGTTTGTGCATGCGGCGATCGACCCATGCGTCGTCCTCGTGATTCGGTTTTCCTTGACCTTCGCTGCTATTCTAACCTCACCGTTTCCAAGGTCACTTTACACTGATTGGCTGTTGCAGTTCTTCGGGACGCACACAGCGAAGCACTGAGAGTCGCTAAGCTCAGCGTGCCTTACCCACAATAAGGGCTGATTCTCGATTTCACCAGTGACATTCTTTTGGTACGAATGCGGTTGTTTCGCCATTCGTATTGTCAAAGTGCATTTACAAAGTTGACACCAGACAAGACCAGTCCTTCCGATGCATCGCTTCCTTAAAATTTCCCCGAGAACAGCCGCACCGGAGGCAATTCTAGCGATGGTGCACCACTTTCTGGGACCCACGATGAGTAGAATTTTTTCATAGGCGAAACCTAAACGACAAACTTATTTGCAATGAGGTGTTGCTCTGTTGATTATCGTCAAAGGAACACGATCGGATACAGAGCTTATTTCCTCTATCAGCTGACTGGTTTTTGGTGTGACGAAACCATCCGACAACGCTCCATCCCCGTGAAGCGCACTGAATATCCAAGACAGCCAAAGATCCTGGTGGACACGTGCAGCACGCAGAGACTACTTCGAGCTGGTGAGTACGAATTCATCCATGTTGTAACGGTTCCGAGGCCGCTTAGATGTTACACCTACCGTAGCGTCCAGACTTAACAAATTAAAGGATGCAGCGAAACTTTCAGACTCCTGAGATCGATGTGACAAACTGCGGTATCGATTGAGTGTGGATTGAAGTGGATTGCATTCAGTCTATGTGTGGTCGCCCACCCGTTCCCATAACAATTGTCGATTGTGATAAGTTTGGTGGAAACTCGATGATTACATCTGTCTGATGAGCCTTAAGAAGGGCAAAACCTGTCGTGAACATTCGCGGAGTTTTCAACAAACTAGTTTCACTCAGGAAGGTATACTTCGAATATCGAAAATGTGGTGATCTCTATGCAGTACACTGAACTAGAATTCAGTTGATTCTCCACCTAACTTGGTTTGTAAGTCAGTGTATTTTACCAGAAACTAGTGTAACGATGGATACTACTGATGAGGCACGTGAGTAGTATGTCTTCTCATAAATCCACTTCACGTTTCTTGAAAAGTGATACCTTTTACGGAATTTGTGGAGTCGCTTTGTAGCATTTGCTTGCAATTGAGTGACAGTCAGTGAATATCCTGGAAAGTTCAAGAAGACGCGTTCAAGGAGAAGATGGATTTTCAGATTTTGTAAAGAAGCTGCATATGAGAGTTTTGCTTCCCTGTCCACTATTCTGTAACTGTTCACTTGGTGTTTTCTAATAAATAACTCCGCAGCAAAGGGCTTCTCCCTTTCAC